TGATTATTTGTAAGTTTTATTTATTATTACTTTAAAATATTAAAATTAGGTTATAAAGAAAGGCGAAATTATTAATTAAATATTTCTGCCTTTATTTATTATGTAAAAGTGATCGAAATTGGGCAATTATTTTCATATTTATTCATTATTATTTAATAATCCAATTTGATTATTTTAACATATAATGTATATTTGTTTATTATTTAATAATAATTACATTTCATTATTTTAGTTTATACATTTTTATTTATTTATGCTTATTTTAAAAATAATCAAATTTGTTTTTTTAATTTATTCTTATTTAAAAGTAATCAAATTTGATTATTTTTAAGTTATTTTTATTTATTTATAATGATTTTACAATAATCAAATTTGAGTACTTTTATTTATCATTTTTATTATTATTTATTTAATATTATAAAAATATAATCAAATTTAATTGTAGTCCGAGTCCGACCTAGGGGGAGGCCCACGACTGCTTCAAATCTCCGTCGCCGGCCCCAGTCGGCCGAGAGAGGCGTCACGTGACGAGTGGCTGTGGGGTCACACCAAGCCGCGCGAATCGCCCCGCCGCCGCCCGCTGCTGCCGCTGACGCTCGGCGATCCGCGCAGGCGTCGATTTTTAGCGACAGGATCGCGAATCGATTCCCTCCGGCGCTCCACGCCATCACGACGATGTTGACCACCGCCGCCTCCGCCGCCCGGCACGCGGCCAAGCGCCTGGGAGTCAAAGGCGAAGGCAACGACCGCGTCCAGGCGGGCGCGATGGTGAGCGTCAGTGACGAGCGACTTGACGAGGTGTTTTTATAACGAGAAGATGTTTATTTTACTCCTCGCCCAGAGCCTCGTTGTGAGGCCTGGGCCAGAGGCTTCACTCAGGCGACGTGCCACCACCACCACCAGCCGTGTTTATATTATTTAACGTGATTGTTTAGCTTTGTAACTCGCAGATTCCAGTGCCGTTGCGAAGAGCTTCTCGTTGTTGGTGTTGGGGATGGACCACGCGGACCACAGCATCGCTAGGCTCTGCTTACGTTCAGTAAAACGCGTTTTGGTAAACGTGGATTTCGTGTTCGTTAACACTTTGGGCTATTTCCAGTGTAATTTTTTTATACGGCGTTTTCTCTTCTAAGGGTGTGTATTCTCTTTGCACTGAACTAAAATAATAAAAAAATATGAAACAATAAAAACATTACTCATTGTTTTTTTCGGTAAAGTCACGTATGTAGAAATACAATAAAATTATATTAAAACAAAAAACAATCACGACGTTTCGATCACAACGCAAGCGATCTTCATCAGGTGTCAAGAACAAATCACGGAGGTAAATACAGCAAAAGATGAGAGACGAGAATTCAACAAACCTGAAACAACATTACGTGAAGCACATCCAGTCAGGCCAACGACACAGACACTTCCTGGCGGACCACGAATAAAAACATTGCCTACCAGGAGAGATTCGTTCATGAGGCTATCCACATATACAAGCACAGAGACAATTTCAACCGAGAAGATGGATTCTGGCTTAGCAATCATTGGAAGGATTTGATAAACCATTTCAGGTCTTAATTGTTCACGCTTACGGTGGCTTTCAGACCGCATCCATTATTTTCGTCTCCCCCCTCCTCTTTTCAGAACATAGATGGACTCGTCCATCTGAACAAACTCTCAAATCGCTCTCCGTGGTGCTGACGTTAAAAAAACGCCACTTTTATTCAAATTTTCTTGCTGTGGTTTTCACACCTGACGATGATTGCTTCTTGTGTTGCAGTCAAAACGTCGTGAGAATTGTATTGTTTTATATTTTTATTATTTTATTGTTTCCCTTCTACGTGGTGACTTTACCGGAAGAACCAAGAATATTAATCCCTGCAGTCACGAAAGCTTTAAATCAAAAGTTAAAATACTAATTAAGTTAAAATACCGATGTGTTAAATGTCCCACGCGATGGCGTCGTGGGGTAGCTCTTCGACCCTCCCCAATGTGATTAAAAACTTTGCGGAATAATAAAACTTTACAGCATCTACAAAAGCGCACCTGGCGGTGGGGGATGCGAGTTCCAGAGTTTGTAACTCAAGGGCCGTTTAGATTTAAAGTTAAACTCGCGAACGTTCTTAGCAATTACTGAAATGATGGCACTGAGCTATGGACATTTTTTGCCAAACGGATGCAGATTTAAAAACCCCTTTAATGCAAGTGTCTGCATCTGCTCCGATATCACTTGCCGGCGATGTTAGCCGTGGCTTTATTTTGGTGATTTTGAAAAAGTTTTATGGTTTGGCCATGTTTGTTTTGTTGTAGTATGGAGTTAGACTGATGGCCTTAATCTAAGTTGTCTTGTGGTTGTTGTTGTTGTTTGACTTGGATCCCACTGGGATTTTTGCACACAGCGTTGGTGTACGGTGCTATTTCAAGGATTATTTTGCTGTTTTTTCCTGGATTTTCTGTTTGCACAGTCAAATAATCACTGTAAGATGTTTTTCTTGTTCATGTTTTTGTTTGTTGCGGTTGCACCCGATTCAAGAGCCGAATGGCTCACAGGGCTATACCAAATAAATGAAACTGAAAACTCTTCTCGGTATAGGAGGAAACAACAGCTTTGCACAATAGTCGTGTTGAGTTTGCTTCCTTGCCGACGTGCACAGGACACGTTTGAGGACCCACACAAGCCCCCACCGTCGGCTGTGGTTCACGTGCGGGGACTCTTGGACACAGCCCTCGAGTCGGACCTCGTGGAGGCCGTGCAGCACTTTGGCCTAGTCAGGTGACCAGTCGGTGGTGACCGTTGCCCGCATGGGGAAGGAAGCTGTATTATTATTATTGTTGTTTACCGAAAACACCAAAGATTAATTCCTGCAGTCACGAAAGCTTTGAACCAAGTTTAAACCGCCTCTACGGGGAGGTATAAGGTCTGTATCTTTGTGTCTGTCTTTGTGTTGTCTTGTGTTGTCTGTGTGTTGTCTCTGCTTGTGTATCTGCCTTTGTGTCTGTGCTTGGATTTGTTTCTCTGTGCTGTCTCTGCCTGTGTGTCGGTCTTGGTGCTTCCGAATGTTTGCTGCCGTGCTCCACTTTGCTCTATGCATACCTCATGCTAAAATGTCCCATTGTCTCTCAGCCTTGCCTTCTCATGCTAATATGTCCCATTGTCTCTCAGCCTTGCCTTCTCTGCCTATTTAAGGCGACTTCACTGTGTGCTTGTACCTGTGCTGGTCCGCTCTACTTGAATGTCTATGTGTGTGTGTGCCGTCTGTATCTTAAATTTCATACTTAACTTGCAATTTAGCAATCTTTGAAATAACGTAATCAACCAGGCTTTGCGTTAATTGTGTTTTGACCGACCGTCTGTGTTGCTTTATTTGGTTTCCAAATTCTGCTAAACTCTTGTCTGTTTGGTATGCTTCTCTCTCTGTGTCCCCTATTGTGTCGGTGTTAGTTCCCCCCTACTTGGGTGTCTGTATATACATCTGAGGTTATGTGTCTCCCCTCTCTCATAAATTTAGCTCTTCTGTACCTGATGATGGCTGCTTGTGTTGCAACCGAAACGTCGTACGCTATTATGTTATTTTATTATTTCTTATTTATACGTGACTTTACCGAAAAAAACAAAGATTATTGTTATTATAGTTATTATTATTGGTGTTATTATTGTTGTTATTATTATTGTTGTTATTATTATTGTTGTTATTGTTATTATTGTTGTGGTGGTGGTGTTTGCGGACGTGGAGTGAACTTGGACCTTGGAAATTCGAATATTACCGATTTTCGCTTCGACAACTCAAGAAATTGCATAACACGAAAATACTCGATGGTTCTTAAGCACGGGGTGGGAGATGCCCTTTCTGGGGGCGCAAGACGTGCCAGATTATTTTTAACAAGGTAAATCATCGAAACACATTGAGCACGGGCACGTAAGCACCGCTACTTTGTTCCATCAAACCTCTAAATTAATAAACATTGTACGTTTTAAAAAAAATATTGAGAACCAAAGGGGGGGTGGCAAGGCTGCAGGTTAAAGCTCAAGAACCACTTCCGTAAATAAAAAGCCGTGGCCGCGTGTGGCGGTGGACGAGAGGGCGCGGCGTTGCCCACGTCACGGCGTGAGCGGCGCCGCCGTGCGTGGCTTACTCGGGGCCTTTACAGCCTGAAGTGACCAACCAAAAACTGCTTCATCTTCTTTGGGGTTCTTTCGGTAAAGTCACCACCGCGTAGAATGAGAATAAAATAATAAATTAATAAAACTTAAAATAACACGATAAAATTCTCACGACGTTTCGGGCTACAACACAAGCGGCCTTCATCAGGTGAAGGGACGAGACTGCCAAACTGAAATGGGACAGTCTCGTCCCTTCACCTGATGAAGGCCACTTGTGTTGTGGCCGAAACGTCGTGAGAATTGTGTTATTTTATTGTATTATTTTATTCTCATTCTACGTGTTGGTGACTTTACCGAAAGAACCAAAGAAGATTAATCCTTGCAGTCACGAAAGCTTTAAATCGAAACAAAAAACCGTTTGTTTTTCAATTTTCCCAAGTCACGAATTCCCTCCGAATTAAAGTGCCGCTGCTGCTTTTGTTGTGCCGTCTGACAAAAGCGGCACACGTTCAAATGTGATTAGTAACCGTGTTAAAAATTAATATCTTGTATTGAAATGGTGCACACATACCTTGTTTATGTACGTTTGAAGAGGCTTCCTTTATCAGGTGATACATCGACAGAAGAAGACTACATTACCCTCAAGATGTATTCTAAATCTAATTATATTGTTACAGTACATTCAATTCCAACGCACTACACTGCCAAACTGAAATGGGACGTGGCATCTAACCTGCATCCAACCAGTCTCCACTCCGTTGCATGCATTGAAACATTTCTTGAGATCAAATGAGGTGACTTGGAGCAGACCAACCTCGTGTTTAACATCAACAACAGGCACGCATTTTAAAGTCGGCCACATCTTTGAATAACGGCACTCGTTTGAATCGCTCCCTCCGTGCAGCTACGTGGTGATGATGCCCAAGACGCGGCAGGCGCTGGTGGAGTTTGAAGACCCGGAGAGCTCCCGCAGCTGCGTCGACTACTCGTCCACGGGCTCCGTCTACGTGTGCGGGCAGCCGGCCTATTTTAACTTCTCTACCAGCCAGAAGCTTTGGCGCCCTGGCGTCCCGGGGGATAACGGCAACAGCAACCACGTCCTGCTCTTCACCATCCTCAACCCCATCACCACGGTGGGCATTGTTACGCTCACAGCAGCTGGACATTCACTCGTGAATAATTTGTCGGGTGTGCCATGCGCACACGCGCGCACACACGTGTGTTTCATTTTTACGAGTGAAATTATGTCCGTTTTGGATTACAGTGAATGGCTTTGCTAAGGAAATTACATCGATCCTTTGGTTCATTTGAGGCAATTGAAGTCGTGTTTTTTGTTTGTGCTTTGAAGTCTACCAATGGCATTGAATAAAAAAAAATATATATAGACCTAATGTTGATTTTGGAAAGCGTTGATGTCCTGTATGGCTCGATCTTAAAAATTCACTGGAAAAAAAGCTTTTCAAATTTACTTGGTAATGCGTGCAAAATCACCTCGCTGCGTTTGTGTGCTCCATGTGGTCCTGCAGGATGTGCTTTACAACATTTGCAAACCATTTGGGCCTCTGCAACGCATTGTGATCTTCAGGAAGAATGGCCTGCAGGCCTTTGTGGAATATCCTTTCAACGAGATGCATAACCGTAACGACATGTCCGCCATTCACGTAATTTTACGTGTTATTTTGGAGATGGTAAATGTATTGTTTTTAAAATGAAATGGTCGTGTTTTCCTTAATTTTTGGCCACGTTTGTTTCGGTTGAGAGCGCCGAGAGAGCGAACTCATCTCTGAATGGAGCAGACATCTATTCGGGCTGCTGTACTCTTATAGTGGACTATGCGAGGGCAAGTACAACCGATACTTTGTACATTCACAAGTGTGTGCACCACAACCTGGGTTTTTTCACCCACAGACCAAAGATTAATTTAATATTCTGAATTGACCACTTTGGTGAGCAAATAATGCTGAATACACACGGCAATTCATTGCCAGATGAGGGCTTCCGCACTCGACGCCTGTTGTGGGGTTATTTGACTTGTGTGCGGGGTAAAGGAGTGTAGCATATTTTGTGGCAGCATAGAAATACAATGCACCCAGTGGGTTTTACAGCTGCCCACCACACAGCCCCACAACCTACAACAACCCATTGTGCATGACGGTCATCCTTGCCGTTGTCTAAAGTCAAACTTTTCCTAATTGATATTACCGTGAGGGTGGTTCTCATCTGAGCCAGTGCCCTGAGCCAGTTAGTGGAAAATTCGCATCCAGTGGGAAGGGTAGAGTTGGTTTTTAATTCAATTTTATTTGGTGACGGGTGATTAACATTCAGCCATAGGCTGCTTTGCGAGACCTGCAGAGTACTTGAGGGGAGATGTTACATTGTTAGCAGGAAATAAAATTACAGAACAGTAATAACGAATGCATCATTTTCATAACGGGGTTATGGCACTTCAACATTTTTGAGGTATACGATCAAGGCTAACGCTTCACAGTACACGAGGAACACCGCGAATAAATAATACCAAGTTAGGCAAAGCATGCCAAACTTATGTGCAATTAAACAAGTTTGGAATTTAAATAGGCCACCGAGGGTTAGCAATTTTTATCTGCAAACACGAAGGGAGCTTGTTCCAACGAAGAGGGATAATCAACACGTGATATTAAAAAAAAAACGGTGGCAGAATGGCCACTGTTTCCCACAACTCCGATAAGCACGCTTTTATTTCGATTTAAAGCTTTCGTGACTGCAAAACCAAAGAAGAAGCACGCTTTTGCTACGTACGGCGCGAAAGTTTAGCTTACCGTTGACTTCCTACGTGTGGCAGCTTTTATTCATTCATCTCCCAGGAGGTGAAGGGTTGCGTTAAGTACCTCGGTTTCACCGCAAGTTGCATGCCGTAATTGTCTCGGGGGTAATGACTTGCTTAATAATTATTATGCTTGTACATTTTAAATGGTTCTAAAGTTTCGATTTAAAGCTTTCGTGACTGCAAGGATTCATCTTCTTTGGTTCTTTCAGGTAAAGTCACCACCACGTAGAATGAGAATAAAATAATAAAATAACACAATAAAATTCTCACGACGTTTCGGCCACAACACAAGGTCGGGACGACAGGTTTCTTCCTTTCACCTGAAGAAGGCCACTTGTGTTGTGGCGAAACGTCGTGAGACTTTTATTGTTTTAGTTTATTATTTTATCCTCATTCTACGTGATGACTTTACCGAAAGAACCAAAGAAGGTTCTAAAGTAATATAATTTTTTTCCGAGCATCTATGCCCTATATGCTGGCCACGAATAATGTTTATCTTTTCCCCCTGCTGTGTCCTCTTTACAGGCGACGCGTCTGAATGTGTTTAAAAATGACTCTGAGACCTGGGACTTCACCAACCCTGGCCTCAAGCAAGGTAAGACCAATATTGAGCATATCAGAGCCGCGCTCTCTCGACAGCTGGTGGTGGTGAGCCCTCGGTGTGTGGGGGGGGGGGGGGTGACGTTTTTAACGCAAGGGGTGGGGGGTGTGCACGGCGTGATGAAACAGGCATTGACTATTTCTGTACGCAGCCGGCTTTGCCGTGTTATACTTGAAGATCCGTGGCCAAGTAGAGGGGGAAGTTTGGAGCGTTCTCAAGAGGATAATGCAGCTTCTGCACTTGAGATTTTGGTTGCAGAAAAATGTCACACCTGCAGACACTTGGTTGTCTTGAAGCACATTGGTGTACTGTTTACAATCTACAGAACTTGTCTTCTTTGGTTCTTTCGGTAAAGTCACGTAGAATGAGAATAAAATAATAAATTGATAAAATAAAATAACACAATAATATTCTCACGACGTTTCGGCCACAACACAAGCGGCCTTCATCAGGTGAAGGGGGCGAGACTGTCTGGTAGGACAGCGCTGGAGTGAGAGAGCCACGTTCAGATCACGGCTTTTAAGCTGTGTGAGAGGAACAAAGAGCCTTGACGAAGGAATTAGCATAAAATTTAGCATTGAAATGGCTGAATGATTAGCTTGTGACTGGTCACAGAAATAGCTATGTTAAAAGTTAAAGCATACACATCCGCAGAGGCACCCATTGTTAAAAGGAATTAGCATAGAATTTAGCATTGAAATAGCTAAGTTAAGGCATACACATCCGCAGAGGCACCCCTTGACAATGGGATTAGCATAGAATTTAGCATTGAAATGGCTGAGTAATTCGCTTGTAACTGCTACAGAAATAGTTACGTTGAAGTCAGAGCATACACATTCACCGAGGCACTTAGTACAAATCAAACAGGAGAATTTAGCATTGAAATAACTAGGCGAATTTAGCATTGAAATAACTGGGTGATTTGCTAGTGACTGGTCACAGAAATGACTACACATCTGAGCTATTCACAGTACTATATAGTGAACCAATAAAAACTAAAATATAAATTACCTTCATGTTATCAATAAACTCTATATTCTCCAATCAGCTAAGCTACCAACCATAAGTCGTTATATATCACAATGCTATATGGCGAAAAAATGGGTGGATTCTTACCCTCAAATTTCCGTACCACGGATAGCTACGGGCCCCGTTCAGACGGACGAGTTCGTCCATGGTCGGAACAGAGGAGGGGGAGAGAGACAGCTGCGAAGCCCTAGTATACTCCATGTTGTAAACCATACCATTAACCGTGGTGTGAGAGGTATTAAGAGGCAATGCTGGCGAAAGAGCTGCGGTCTGAAGGTCATCGTAAAATTACTATTAATTAAGAACAGAAATGATTTAACACATCTTTCCAGTGGTTACTAAGCCTGAATCCATCTTCTCGGTTGAAATTGTCTCTGTGCTTGTATATGTGAATGGCCTCATGAACGAATCTCTCATGGTAGCCAGTTGGTTTGCAAAGAACCTCCGTCTTGGAGAAGTCAATGTCATGTGAGCCCACTGAATTGTAAAGGTGATCTGCCACGGCAGAGGAGTTCGTCTTACCGTGTTTCAAGTCTGCTTTATGTTCACCTTTCTGAAGAGATGCCGCGACTCTAAGGTAATACCAACCGCATTTACACTAACCTCTGCTGTTGCAACTTCTCTCAATGCAAAACGAATTCTAGCTAGAACTAGCTTCGCTCTTATCTCGGAAAAAATCAGACTTACACGCACCGAACTCGATCAGTTAGACAAGACACTCTACAAATCACACTTAAAATTGACAGCAACAATGTCTACATCGGATTGGGAACATGTAGACAATATGACTACCTCTTCGGCTGCCACTATGTCGAACAAATGTAGGGACAATTTGATTTCCAAATTCAATCACCTCTCCAGCAAAAAATCGGATCCACACACCGAAAAGATAGACGTCAACAAAGTCGTAATTAATCGCAGTAACAGTTCCATTTCTGATGGTCTGAAATCCGTTTTAGCTAAAGGTCTAAACTTTGCTGTCACACCGAGACACTTACCGGTTAATGATATCATTGCCCATGTCGACGTTGCACTCAAGGGCTTGAGTCACATCTCTGCAGACGTAGCAAGATCTGAAATCGCTGCAACCCTCAAAAACGCTAAGTTGCCACCTAGCAACATCAGCAAAGACGAACGTTTTGAATTATCTCAATTAAAAAAGAGGGATGATATTGTCGTTCTCTCAGCCGACAAAGGCAATGCCACTGTCATCATGGACAAAACAGAATATAACAACAAAATTCAAGAACTACTCAACGATGGCAGCTATACAAAAATAAAAAGAGATCCCACCAACAGCCTGGTCACAAAAACGAACAAAATTATCTCTGATTCAACAGCATTAATTGATGAGAACAAACAGTTCTTGTTGAAACCCTCTGCTGCCAGACCACCAAGATTATATGGCCTTCCAAAGATACACAAAGAAGATACACCCCTTCGTCCCATCGTCTCTACTATCAGCTCCCCCACCTACAAACTGGCACGTTTTCTGGCTGATATACTGCGACCTTTCACTGGAAAAACCACCTCTGCGGTACTAAATTCTACTCACCTGGTATCGACAATCAAAGACATTTCCCTGTCCCCAAACGACCTGCTTGTCAGTTTTGATGTGGTGTCCTTGTTCACCAAAGTCCCAGTACCTGACACCATCGCTATCATTGAAGACCTGGTTCATCAAGGACTGCATACTGATGTACCCCCCCTGGTGAGACATTGCTTAACCAACACATACTTCACCTGGAATGGAACTTTCTACAAACAAACTGAGGGCACCCCAATGGGCTCCCCCCTATCTCCGGTTGTAGCCAACGTATTCATGGAAAAATTTGAAACTGACGCCATCCAGACTGCCACTCTACGCCCGACCTTATGGAAGAGGTACGTTGATGACACCTTTGTCATCTGGCCACATGGCCAGCCTGCTCTAGACCAATTCCGCGACCACATCAATTCCATACACCCAGCCATCAGATTTACCATGGAGGTCGAAAAAGATGGCAAACTACCCTTTCTGGATGTCTTAATTAAAAGGAGACATGATGGTTCAATGAGCCACTCTGTCTACAGGAAAGCTACCCATACAGATGCTTACTTGAAACCGGATTCCCACCACCATCCATCCCAGAAGAACTGCCTCATCAAGACTCTATACCATAGAGCCCAATGCATTTCCGACCAGGAACACATTACCAGTGAACTCAAGCACGTACACCAGGCTCTCAGGGCTAATGGCTACTCCGACTACACAATCCGCAAAGCCATCACTCCAGTCATGAAGAAGGATCCTCTTGTGGAGCCACTCAAAACCATCACCTTACCCTACATTGCAGGGGTCACTAAAAAGATCTCCAAAATCCTGAATAAACACAAGATCCAGGTCCGATTCAACACAGTACACAAAATCCGTGATTTAGTTCCATCTGTAAAAGATGCTCTTCCAGACATACAGTACCCGGGCGTTTACAAACTAAAGTGCCTCTGTGGTAGTAGCTACATTGGAGAAACCAAAAGACATATCTCGGACCGCATCCGCGAACATAAAGCAGACTTGAAACACGGTAAGACGAACTCCTCTGCCGTGGCAGATCACTGTAACAATTCAGTGGGCTCACATGACATTGACTTCTCCAAGACGGAGGTTCTTTGCAAACCAACTGGCTACCATGAGAGATTCGTTCATGAGGCCATTCACATATACAAGCACAGAGACAATTTCAACCGAGAAGATGGATTCAGGCTTAGTAACCACTGGAAAGATGTGTTAAATCATTTCTGTTCTTAATTAATTGTAATTTTACGATGACCTTCAGACCGCAGCTCTTTCGCCAGCATTGCCTCTTAATACCTCTCACACCACGGTTAATGGTATGGTTTACAACATGGAGTATACTAGGGCTTCGCAGCTGTCTCTCTCCCCCTCCTCTGTTCCGACCATGGACGAACTCGTCCGTCTGAACGGGGCCCGTAGCTATCCGTGGTACGGAAATTTGAGGGTAAGAATCCACCCATTTTTTCGCCATATAGCATTGTGATATATAACGACTTATGGTTGGTAGCTTAGCTGATTGGAGAATATAGAGTTTATTGATAACATGAAGGTAATTTATATTTTAGTTTTTATTGGTTCACTATATAGTACTGTGAATAGCTCAGATGTGTAGTCATTTCTGTGACCAGTCACTAGCAAATCACCCAGTTATTTCAATGCTAAATTCGCCTAGTTATCTCAATGCTAAATTCTCCTGTTTGATTTGTACTAAGTGCCTCGGTGAATGTGTATGCTCTGACTTCAACGTAACTATTTCTGTAGCAGTTACAAGCGAATCACTCAGCCATTTCAATGCTAAATTCTATGCTAATCCCATTGTCAAGGGGTGCCTCTGCGGATGTGTATGCCTTAACTTAGCTATTTCAATGCTAAATTCTATGCTAATTCCTTTTAACAATGGGTGCCTCTGCGGATGTGTATGCTTTAACTTTTAACATAGCTATTTCTGTGACCAGTCACAAGCTAATCATTCAGCCATTTCAATGCTAAATTTTATGCTAATTCCTTCGTCAAGGCTCTTTGTTCCTCTCACACAGCTTAAAAGCCGTGATCTGAACGTGGCTCTCTCACTCCAGCGCTGTCCTACCAGACAGTCTCGCCCCCTTCACCTGATGAAGGCCGCTTGTGTTGTGGCCGAAACGTCATGAGAATATTATTGTGTTATTTTATCAATTTATTATTTTATTCTCATTCTACGTGACTTTACCGAAAGAACCAAAGAAGATGAATCATTGCAGTCACGAAAGCTTTAAATCGAAAAATCTACAGAACTTGGTCGATGTCACAGGAAGTTATTTGAAACGCCACTCCCCTCTTCTGTATCAAACATGCAATCACTGCAATTGTGTAGAGCTGGTCAAGGTTATTTTCGTTTATACCTATCTTCTCCATATATATAAAAGGCAAAGTTGTGATTGTGTGTGTCTGTTCAAAATGTTTAGCGTACTTCCCGACATGCAACAAACTGGAAATTTGCCATGTGGGTACTTTCCAGACTGTACACCGTGCAAACATTATAAAAATACACTTTTTTTCTGGGGGGTGGGGGGGAGCTCAATAATGCACTTATTTTTTGTACGGCAAGTGAGCTGTGACGTCAAATCTGTCACGTGACCCGTAGTGTAGCGGTTAGCGTTACGCTGCGCTATGAACCCGGCGACCCAAGTTCGATTCCTGCTCACCGCCACCGCCGGTGACGATTATTTTAACCGGTCCTGGGCCTCCCCTAGGTCGACTCAGCCTCAAACGACTAACTGCTGTGGTGTGTGAACATCGCTACTGGGGAGACAAAGACGGCCGGGCGTGGTGGATCCAAGTCCCGGGCGAAGCCGGGTAGTAACAGCTAGCGCAACATATAAGTAAATAATCTTTGTGTTTTTTTAGCCCATACTCAGCTTGCGTAGTTTACTCTGGGCAGATTGGTTTTAAACTCGTGCCCGTGTACTTTGTTTTTCTAGTTTACCCTTCAGAACAATGTGGCAGTATAAGTGAATGTTGTGAAGAACAGGATTCACAAGGAGGCATGTGGCTGCTGGAGTGTTCAATAATCCATTGGATTCATTTTTATGTTACCATTAAAGCTGTTGCCCTGGTACTGGACATGCGATAGACATTGCCATTAAGTTGGTGGCGTTTTAGATTTTGATCAGCTTTGAAGATTTTCCCAACGTCAAGTGCATGTGGCCCATAGGCGGGTACTCGGTTGTTCGGGGTGTATCAAGGCTGGGCATTATAACACTTCAGTGTAAAACCTTGCATTGCGAGCATAATTCGTTCCGGGAACGTGTTTGTAATCCAAAGCGCTCGTACATCAAAGCACTCGTCTATCAGTTGTGTGATCACGTGACTCACGGCAGTACAAAGTGTGTCTACACGTACACTGCTCGTATTGCAAGACCTCGCTCGTTTATCAAGTTAATATTTATTTACAATTTTAGCTCGTCTTGCAAAACACTTGCAGACCAAGTTACTCGCAATCCAAGGTTTTACTTTTATATTTAGATTTACCAGGGTGTGTGTCTGTTGGATCAGAAGTAGGTGCCAACTTTCACTGGCATATTTGAGGTGGACATTGCACGTTGCGTTTTTATATTTTGTAGGGTTGAGAAACCTTGACTGCATTATGTGGTGTCTGGATACTAAGCGGAGAAGCTTAGAGGATGTCAGAAAAGCCGATATTTACGATTGAAAATATCACTTATTATAAAGTAACCCTTTTAATTTGGTACGATTGAGCCTGAACAGGAAAATGGTATCTTTGTCCCGAGTACATTGTGTGTACGCACAGATATTAGTTTCCGAAGAGGTAAGTCTCGCCACTTTATCAAAGGAGCTTCAGGGACACGGTGCGGTTTGATTTAATCGCCAAATTTCCGTAAACGCTTCGAAGAGTATTTTCCTCACTCCCAACATCAACGCTACAAGGAGCATCTGCGAGCATTGCCGCACACAGAAGCACACGGAGGCAATTTGCAAGCAACACACGAGCAATCAAGCGCCCGGCAGCCAACAGCCACCGACGTTAACGGCGACGACACGAACGGCGACATTGGCGACATCCTCGTCGGCACTTGGGAGGCACCAGGGACCAAGCAACCAACACGCCGCCACCGCTGTGACACGCACGGCTGACCCGCGCACCCCACGCCTGCAGCGCCACGTCACGGAACACTCGGCGCAGCACGCCGCGTCCGCTGCACCGCAACCGCCACGTGCCGCTTGGCAGAGGCCATCGGATAACCCGCGTCCAGCCGCAGGCACCGGGGGACACGGCGCTGACAGACCGGCAAAGCACCGGAACCGCCGCGAAGAAGCCGGGAGCGACGAAAGCCCGCATTCACCGCGAACGGGACTTGGAAATAAGCCGAACGGAATGCGTGCCGATGCGTTTGGGGCTTAAAATCGCTCCGTTGGTGAGAATTTACCTCCACGCTCGTACGTTTAGACTGCCTTGCTAAAGTTTTGTTTGCAAACGAGGCTTTTGACATTGCAGATGCCAGACACAACGCATTTCGCATCGGTTTATAAGCGGCGATCTTTTTCATTTTAAAGGTTCGTAAGGCCCCGTCGCCCACTTCAAGCGTCCCAATTTTAAGCCCCAAACCAAAAAGGGTCGCCGGAGAGCGAGAGGTGCGGTGGCACGGACAACGCGGGGGGGTCCGTTTGTGCCGAGTCTGACTGCTGTTGGCGCAGGAAAGAAGGTGCCGGCCTTTCTGTTGCATCCTCCTCGCGATGGGTCGTCAGCCGCCGCCCGACTCTGGGCAACTTTGTGTTCCCGTCGAAGCGTAGACTGGGTAAGAAACGAGCGGGCATCGCAGGCGGCAACCACGGACACTCGCTGACGCCGCACCTCAGAACAATTTGTCGCGTGCATCTGTACACCTCCAATAAATTTTGTTTTTTTCTTCTTCTTGCGATGAGCATTTCTTTACGCGCTGTATTTTGTATGGCACTCGTTATTTATGTTGCGCCGTGTGAAATCTGCATTTTTAAAATACCGCCGATTGTTTTATGGGCAGACGCAGCGCGCCCCCTTGTGGAGTGTGCCCGGAATTTCTTAATGTGTTGGTAGTGTGAATGTTCTGGGTGCAGAATTAATTTTTTGGATTGTCATATTTTGTGCAGCAGTGAGCGCTTATGTTTCCCGTGGGTGAATTTGGTGATCGTTTTTTTGTTGTTTTCAGAGGGCAATGCAGTGATGCCAGCGAAGCAAACGTCTCTCCTTGGCGAACATCCCAAAGCACACGCTTGCGGTGGTGGCGACTGTGGAGGTAATCCCTTTGTTGCGAATGCTGTAATTTCGGTTTCCTTCAGCTTGCTGTCAGATTGAAAGAACCTGCTGCCTGTTGAGAACATTTCTTATTTGGAATTAGTGTTAAGGTGCATCCTAAAAACCTTTTTTTGCGGTTAACAATTGCAACGTACGAGTTGCTTTGTGTTTTAAGAGACGATATTTCCAACAGTTATCAGATGTATTGGGTATTTAAAACAAGCTATGCTGAATAAGAGCTTGGTGGGCCTCAACCTAAAATAAAAACTAGTTTAGTCTTCCCTAGGCAACTGAGTCTTCTGGACCAATGTTTTCCAGTGTCTCCAAGGGGTAGAGTGGTGAATCCTGGGTTGCCTGATCTTATAGGAAAGGGCACACGTGTGTGTAGGATGATGGCTGTGGTAAATCTGTTTTTCAGAGAAGTTTAGAGAGTTTCAGCTGTTCACGATGCGTTTCCCCCTCTTGTGTATTTGCGTCACAGGCCACCAGCAGCCATCGCCACCGGGCGTCGACTACGGATCTGGCGGCGACGGCATGGGCATGGGCGGTGGGGGAGGAATGGGCATGGGAGGAATGGGCAACCTGGGTGGTACCCAGGGCCAGCACGTGCAGGCCATGATGAACCAGCAGGCCGACAACAAGGTCCTCATTGTGTACGACTTGGACGCCGAACGCTTCAACTGCGACCGCGTGTTTAACATCCTCTGCCTCTTCGGCGACGTGGAGAAGGTGCCTTCGCTGGGTGTTGCGCGCACCTGCTTTGAAATGAGTCCCCGTTTTTTTTCTTCCAAAGGTTCAACCGCGGTGCAATGCGTACGCATGCGTGTGGTGCACGTCGTGCGCTGATCGTGTTATATAAAGTGGGAGATTCACACGACCAAATTTGTTCACCGATTGACAACATACACATTTGGTCATTTTCTTTACAAAAATGTACCCAATGCGAAGTGTTCTTTGTGCATGTTTTCTAATGGCCCCTCGGCCAACACTTCACATTTAAACAATGCGTTACAACGAAACTTGTAGATATTTTCGTGCAAGATTGCGCGATGCTGAACCGTCTTACGGGTTGTTATTTTTGTAGGTTAAGTTCCTGAAGAGCAAGCCGGGAGCCGCCATGGTCGAGATGGGAGATCAGTACGCCGTGCACAGGGCGGTTTTTCACCTCAATATGTCTCAGATCTTTGGAAATAAAATCAACCTCTGGTGAGCCTTTTTGTTCCCGTGTTAAATTGGTAAATGTAACTCGTCATATCCTGTTAATGTAATTGGATACTGCTTTCTCTTTAGGGAAGACACTTTAGTAAATATTTAGTGCAAATGACGAAATTTTAGGACGGTGAAAAAGAGAGCTGATGAATACCGTGAACGAAACACTTGTCACACAGCTCACGAGGACCCCGATTACTTACTGTCCAGAGCCTTTATTGAAGTGGCGAACATGAAATTTGGATTCTAGATTTGAAGCTTTACGGGGAGGGCCTTTATTGAAATAGCGAACGTGAAATTTGGATTCTAGATTTGAAGCTCTACGGGGAGGGCTTTCACCTATCTGTTAGAGCTTTCAACAGACAATGGGACAAGAAGTCAAAGCTCATCGAGACGCTGACCTTCCTCAAAAGATGCCGCGACAACAAGCTTAAAGGACGCGACCTGGGCTTGCTGTCTTCACTCCAACGCTGTCCTCTGGACAGTCCGGTCCCTTCACCTGATGAAGGCCACTTGTGTTGTGGCCGAAACGTCGTGATTTTTTGTTATTTTATTTTTTACCCACGTGACTTTACCGAATCGAACCAAAGAGCACATGAAATTTGGAACGTGATAAAATAAAAACTAAAAACAGTTTCTTCGGCAGCGTGTCGAGGCAGCGGTCGATTGTGCCGGGCCAGGCGTTCGAGCTGCCGGACGGCACCGACAGCTACAGGGACTACGCAGGTTCTCGCAACCACCGCTATGCCGACAGCGAGAAGGCGGCGAAGAACCGCAACCAGCGTCCCACCGCGGTGCTGCACTTCTTCAACGCGCCCACGGACATCACGGCCGAGATGTTCGCGCAGGTCCGTGCCCCCGCCGCCCCTTCAGCCTGCTGCCAGCAGCGCAGAAGGGGAGCGCGTTCGGTTTCTTTAAAAGTTTTCCCAGGTGAAGCTTTTATAAATATTCAAGTCCAAAGTTTGCACGTGAAACAATCGTGGGTTTTTAAGATGAGCCTATTGATGTTGTGGAGTTTGTGGTGGCCCATGACACGTTTCCTGTGACGGGACAAATGTAAAATGGTGTAATGTAGTTTCCTTTCAGCGGTTAAAACATAAGATGTATAAATAATGCAGTCGATGTTCCAAAGGGACTTTTTTGTTACAGACTAGACAACACCTCGCGTTAATTTGTCCTGTTTAATACATTACGATTCATATTCATTCGTATTCGAAAGGTTTCCATTTCAGTCTTTGGACATTGTTTCTGCAAATGGTTGCATTCCCCCTGAGTCTATGCTTGGTGTTCACAATAATCTGAGCACTTTGAAAGACTGCTCCAAAGCTGGCGAATGTAAATTTAAAAATGGACAACGGGATTTGTGCCTGCAATTAAAATGACATCTCCCGAATGCTTTACCGGTGCACGTTAACTGTTACCAACTATAACGTGAACGCCACCCGTTCTGTCCCCGCAGCTGTGCGACGAAATGTCGATTGCGAGGCCCCGCTCTTTCAAAGTGTTTTCTGGAAAAAGTAAGTCCCGCAAAGTATGTTTATTATTTATCTTACGTGTCATGGCACAGAATAAATCGTGTACTGTATTCTCCATGCAATCGTCGCTTGATTTACAGCACGACACCAGATGATCTGCAACGTGTGCTATGAGGCCATGCTCAAGAAACCCTGTGAGAAATTCTCTCCCGAGAGCAGTCCTTGCTATTCACTCGCGCCCAAGCTGACTGAAGCGTGTTAGCGTAGCCAAGGCATCGGACTGAAGCCTTCCTGCTGCAGAAATTCACCAACGACTGACACCACCCTTTAAACACGGCAAAGGGTTTCATATTCTTGGTTCTTTAGGTAAAGTCACGTAGAAGGGAAACAACAGAATAATAAATATATACACAGACAATTTCAACCGAGAAGATGGATTCTGGCTTAGCAATCATTGGAAGGATTTGATAAACCATTTCGGGTCTTAATTGATTGTTCACGCTTACGGTGGCTTTCAGACCGCATCCATTATTTTCGTCTCCCCCCTCCTCTTTTCAGAATATAGATGGACTCGTCCATCTGAACAACTGCCAAATCGCTCTCCGTGGTGCTAACGTTAAAAATAACCGCCACTTTTTTCAAATTTTCTTGCTGTGGTTTTCACACCTGATGATGATTGCTTGTGTTGCAGTCGAAACGTCGTGAGAATTTTATTGTTTTATATTTTTATTATTTTATTGTTTCCCTTCTACGTGGTGGTGACTTTACCGAAAGAACCAAGAATATGAATCCCTGCAGTCACGAAAGCTTTAAATCAAAATGGTGAAGGGTGTTGCGTTTTACACGACCCAAATGACTCCATGAGCAACGGTCCGTCCACGTGTCCAGCCGATAGGAGCGTGTCCGGCCTGACGGAGTGGGAGACCAAGAACGATGCCATGGAGGCTCTGGCGTGCATTAACCATCACCCCCTGAAGAACGCAAGTAAGTTGTGGGGTGTTGGCCATTTGTGTTGGTGCGATGACATTGAAGCAGTGCTGCATTATCGGCAAATCTTTGGTCGTACGCTCTGTTGAGCACCAAATGTTCAGATTTGGGGGGGGGGGCGCTTGTTATTACCATAGCACCATCTGTGTACACTGGCTGCCTAGCAGCCTTGGGTGAAATTGCAGGAAGTGAAAGCAGTTGTAGATTGTTGTATTATATATTAACAGGTTGTTATTTATGGGCGATTTGGATTTCGTTGTTTGCATATACAGAATGGAATTGAAAGTTGACATAGCCAAGCACTTTCACTTATCACAACTCAACGTTATCTTAGCTCCCTGAACGAGTTTGTCGACCGACAAAGACCCTCCTAAGAATCGCTTCATTGTTTTAAGTTTTTGTGTGCTCCAGTGAAGACGTCATGTGGCTCCCCTGTTTTTATTTTCTCAGATGTTCCATACTTCTACACCCTCAAACTGTGCTTCTCCACTGCCCAGCCTTCATAGAAGACAACTCAACATGTTTCATGCCGTATTGAACGTCGGTGTCAACATCATTGTCACTTTGTGTATTATTTGTGAATGTCCCATCTTGTTGAAAGTTAACCGTGGGTATAGGTCGAAAGTGCAATTTGATGTGTTTACATTTTAGTTGTCATTTTTTGGAGGATTAATTTAGATTTCTATATTGACTGCACCGAAAGATTTTAAAGGTCGCAGTGGAAATGAAGAATGTTGAAATTAAAATAATTATGGTTAGTCTCCTTAACCTGCCGAGTTTGTCTGCCGTGTGCATTGCCATTTTGTCCATGAGCCCCAAACCAGATTTCACTTGGCAGTCCTCGGGTGCGGTAACTTTAGCGGCTCCAATTAATTTACAATTTGGGGGGGTTCTCAACTTGCTCATAGCCAAAGTTTTTGCTCCCACCACGAGTGATGCTCCTTTCTTGCTGTAGCCCATGGCACTAATATTGCCCATTTAATTTCATAACGGAGAGCTCTGAAATTAAAGACCCTTTTGGGGGGGGGCTGGTAAAAATATACCCTGACTCATTGACAATCCCATTGAAAAACATGGGTTGCCATTCTGTACAGTGCGTGTATTTAGCAGGTTAATACGCTTGCAAATATAAACCCCAAGAGAAAATAGAACAGTGTTTGAAAATAAAAGTATGGAGAGATGCATGTTTGACATCGAACTGGAATCGATTGAACATGAGCGTGGAGACATGAAGGAAGTTGGGCATAGGGTAGGTGAGTGACTGAGTGTGTGGGTGGCTAGGTGAGTGACTGAGTGACTGAGTGTGTGGGTGGCTAGGTGAGTGAATGAGTGTGTGGGTGGCTAGGTGAGTGACTGAGTGAATGAGTGAGTGAATGTGTGGGTGGCTAGGTGAGTGACTGCGTGAATGAGTGACTGTGTGGGTGGCTAGGTGAGTGACTGTGGGTGGCTGGGTGAGTGACTGAATGAGTGACTAAGTGTCTGTGTGGGTGGCTAAGTGAGTGACTGAGTGAATGAGTGAGTGTGTGGGTGGCTAGATGAGTGACTGAGTGTTGGTGGCTAGGTGAGTGACTGTGTGGGTGGCTAGATGAGTCACTGAATGAATGAGTGACTGTGTCTGTGGGTGGCTAGGTGAGTGAATGAGTGTGTGGGTGGCTAAGTGAGTGACTGAGTGAATGAGTGACTGAGTGTGTGGGTGGCTAGGTGAGTGTGTTAATGAGTGTGTGTGGGTGGCTAGGTGAGTGAGTGAATGAGTGACTGAGTGTGTGGGTGGCTAGGTGAGTGAGTGACTGAGTGTGTGGGTGGCTAGGTGAGTGAGTGACTGAGTGTGTGGGTGGCTAGGTGAGTGAATGAGTGACTGTGTGGGTGGCTAGGTGAGTGAGTGACTGTGTGGGTGGCTAGGTGAGTGAGTGACTGTGTGGGTGGCTAGGTGAGTGAGTGACAGTGTCTGTGTGGGTGGGTAGGTGAGTGACTGTGTCTGTGGGTGGCTAGGTGAGTGAGTGTGTGGGTGGCTAGGTGAATGAGTGACTGTGTGTGTGTGCGGCTAGGTGAGTGAATGACTGAGTGTGTGGGTGGCTAGGTGAGTAAATGAATAGCCCAGGAATAGGGCGAGTTAGACCGAAGCCGTACCTCCTCAGCTAGCAGCGGGTGAAGGGGCCGTTACCCCTTCAAGTAGAAGGCTGTATTGTATTGTGTTAAGCACCTTTGTAATAAATAAGCATTGCCTCTACCGATTCGTCTCTACGCTGTCTTAAAGAACCCACTACACATGTACAGGAATAACTCTTACGTCTTTAACCATTGAACTTGTTTTAAATACATATAAAAACTCTAAACATTTATCATGTGCACAGTATCGTAATTAAGGCGGGTACTGATACCCCAATAAAGTGCTCATATTTGGTCAGAGGAAAACCAATGCTCATTCGGTAATGCATCTCCATTGGAAGCATGTTATGATGACTTCCTACAGCGCTGTTTCACGAAGTGTTCCGTTTATCAAGAACGCATCCTGGCTGCCATAAGAGGCACGCATAAAACTGAAGGCCGCCTGGGATCAAACTTACAAAATAAGCGGATGAGAGCAGGTTCGTGCGCTTTCGGAAAATGTAACTTGATAATGAAACGCAAGACCCAATCTAGATGTGACTCACTTGCAGCACTCCACTGCCCCTACTCCACACCCCCTCTACTCTCTCCTCCCTGGCTCCTGAACCCCTCTCTTACCTACATAGCCTCTTGTCACAGCAGCCCTTTTGCCCACTTCAGCAATTGTTTTCTTGCTGTTATTGTCCCACCTCACGGCGGACGCTTGTGTTGCGCCCGAAACGTCGCGGATTTTATTTATTTTATACCTACTACGTGACTTTACCTAAAGAGCCAAAGAGCGAGGCCCAATGTTTAGAGAGTTAAAGGGTATGTAAAGCAAGGCCAAAGGCACGTAGAGGCACAACCATAAGATAACAGATTCTCTTGCGGAGGGAGTTGGTAGTAGGAACGTTGGGCTGCTCGGTCAATGGCCAGGGTCAACGGCGGCACCACCACGTGGTGTATTCCGTAAATATGCTCGACTGTGAGGGCGGGCATGAGCCGGCGTGAGTAGGTTACACGTTGAGTTTTATAAGGGCACCACGGGGTGACCAGCCCCTCCCCACCCAGCCCCACCCATCCCCACTCAGCCCCACCCTCCCCTCCTCACCCTCCCCTCCCCACCCAGCCCCTCCCCACCCTCCCCTCTCCACCCAGCCCCACCCCTCCCATTGGTGGATGCACGACGGACGGACCTAACAATAATCCCGTGGGCTGGTGGTGTAATAACCAGGAGGTTCCTACCAGTATTAACTTTATAACCAAGTGTAAGCCCAGAGTCTCGATGTATTTTATTTCAGTGAGCCCTGGGTCAGCACTCATGAAACATCACGAAAGCACAGCAAGTACAAAGCAATTTTAAAAGCAGTTGCAGTAACAGCTAAGAATATATTAGAATACATTTCACAACATTTTACAATTAACATTGCCGAAAAGGTCTAACTAAAATCTGAAAACTCACACTATCTATGCAACAAAACTGAAAAGCGCTCAAATTTATAACATCCAATTATGGAATTAATAGCTTATTAAAAACCAATAAAATCCTAAGGTTGGGGGTTGACTCAGCCTATGAGCCCTCAAGGGCCAATACAATTAGTACCACTAAGTAGGGAAGTAAACAGTGGTTGTCCTATGGGTCGACTCACACCCATCATTGAAATGTGACATTTCTAAGACTGGTTAAGGGCCGTAAAAACACAACACCATTGCACATTTGAGCAGGAAATCAACTTTGACTTGACAATTATAAAAACTGAGTGGGCCAGGATCATGTTTAGATGTTATACAAATGTGATATAATTCCACGTGTGGAGGAGCGTTGTGAGTGAAGGATTAGCCAACAATTTGTATTTAAGTTTAGGAACCTGGCATATGAATGTTTCAAATGCTGGTCTCGTGTAAAACCCCTGCCAAACACGCACATCTGCACCTCACAAATGGTGGAGTCCTCCGGCTCGATTCCTCTGTAGGGTTTTTTTTTCCTCTGCCAGTTTTCTCCCATTACTCTGCACCTCGTTAGGCTCAAGTGAAGCCTCAATCCGGTACGAACTCAGTCAGAACATGGCATGGCCAATATGAACCCTGATGACGATCGCCGCTTGTGCT